CGAGTTCGGGGTTCTGCGTTGCATTTGCTACATTTCGGAGTTCTTTGTTGTATGTGCTGCAGTTTTGCGGTGTCTGTACCACGGTTTTTCCCACATGTCAAAACGCTGGCGAGAACCACTGTATCTGGATCTCACCACGAGCTCTCACAATCGGACCAATGTGCCCACCAAAGCTGTGGATGTCAGGGTGCGTGGGGAAAGCTGCCGTCCAAAGACAATGAGGGCTAAGCGCCAACATGTCAATTGTTCAGGAAAAACGATTTTAAGATTCGGCGAAACCAACAGTGATTTTGGATGGTTCGAGAAATTGGACTCCTTTCGGCTACAAAATATTCCCAATTTTGGACATTATATCGCAATATGCAGTTCTTTGAGCCACATTTGAAGATAAAGATCACCTTATTTCCGAAAAATGGCACTTGACCTTTTTGCCTTTGAACGGCGGAACGGCGCTACTGACGCTATCATCCCTCATTCAGCCAAGTTGCGAGCCATTATTGCCATCATAAAGAACTCAGGCACCACCTGGTCAACTCGAGCCTATCCTTTTCCAGAGCCCGCGTCCTGGAAACATTCGACAGTTCCCTTTATCTTGAATTCCGTTGACCGCACCAACCTCATGCAGTAACCTATGTTCGTCGTCCCGGCGTTTGCTGAAATCGCAGAGCGCGCCGTCCACCAGCAGTTGTACGGTTCACTCAACAGATGTCACGCCTGATCTCCATATGCGTCCTGGGCGTGCAGGACGGGGACGACTGAGCCACTTCGCGATTTATTCGTTTCGTTATTTCGGGCAGCTTCTACCTAAGTTCGACCGCATTCAACTCGCGTCTGGTGACAAGCCAGCGTGCATTTGGATTCCGAGCCATGCTGGCCGAGCGAACCATCACGGCCGGCCTTTAACGTCAGGACTGCGGAAGCCAGTCACTGGCGTGTACTCGGTATGTTCGTTTTCTGAGGATGTAATTCGATTCCCTTGGTACATAGAGTGCACCCCTCCCCCCCCCCTTCCGAACAACAAACTTACACTATTGGATTCGGTGTTGGAATGAGAAGCCTTAATTTGCGTGCACTAGGTCCATTCCAGGTAGCGCTTGGTTGGGAGAGCCGGTCCACAGGGTCGCATGCCGACCCGCCCTGCACCTAGCAACCTCTAGTTGTTTCGCGTGCGGCGTTACCATGAGCGCTACTGCGCTGCCTGCCGGCGGCTCAGCTGATATCGCGGCTGCAGGACCGTAGTGCCTTATGTCAGGCTTTCACCAAATTGCACCTTCGTGTTCGGGCGCGGTAGGGGACGCCGTTGCCGCTGCTTCATCGAGCGGCAGCGGCGCCTGCCACAGTTGAGTTCCACAGCACAGACCACGACGACAGTGCTGACCGTGTTTGCGCATCCTGGCGTGTTGCTGGACGATGCGCTGACCACTTATGCAGCGTGGTCTGCAGGTGATATGGGCTACTTTTCTCGCACGATCAATGGCGAACGTGCAGCCCTTCAGGCGGTGATAGCCGAGCGTAACAACGTCTTGTTGCTTCGCCTGACGTCTCTCAGCTCTGACGTCAGCTGTGATGCCTGAATAAATCGAGTTCCTAGTCATGTCCAGACAAAACCAAAGTAAGGCACTGAGGGAGCATCTCACCCCACACCTCACACTGCACGCGCTGTGTACGTACACCCGTACACTGCTTACACTGCGTAGGCGTTCATGTACACACTACGTACAGCACAACAGTACAGAATGAGGCTATTTTCCTCGAGAGCCGCTGCTCCTGCACTGGATTTAAGCCGAAATTGCCATTAGCCTGCTATTGTTTCGACATAAGCGAGGTCTGTGCTAAAGTGAGTTTCATATATTAAGGTGAACTGATGAAGCGAAGATGTCAAGCAATCATTCGCATGCGCTTTGAAATAACTCCACTATTCAGCTTATCTTATCTCTGTTTCAACTGTCCCACACAAGATTAAAAAACCGTAAGAGATTAACGCGTAGGAGATTGATAATGCCCCGAATCTGTTCCGACTGCAAGTACAAAGAGTGCAAAATAGATTGCCACAAAAGCCCTCACACTTTGTACCCGATATACGGTAGGGACAGGCGCCGGCGCACAGCTCAAAACAACAGAAAGTGTCGATTACCGCAAGTGAAGGTAAAGTAGCCCTGGAAGCTCACCTGATGTAATCCACACGTAATAATGCTATACACATGCATTTCTATATTACACCTCATATGTAGCATTATATGCGTGTATATATATATATATATATATATATATATATATATATATATATATATATATATATATGTGTGTGTGTGTGTGTGTGTGTACACGAATATGATATCATATTCTACACCATGCATGTGAACAGATGCTAGTATATATTACTAAATTTATGCATTCAGAAATTGGTATGCAGCCACTGTGATGCTTGTGTAATGAATTTAGCACATGCAGGAAGCTGTATGCGTTGCTCATTGATGAACAGAGTAAGTCTACGCATAATAAATCCTCGATTAAACACTCGGCGGGCATTTTCAAAAGCATCTAACTTTCCCCACAGTCGGCGAGCCGGGCCGGACCGTCTAGTCACCGTACGTAGCTCGTTGACCGGCCACTACTCGGCTGGCCAGAAAATAACCTTGAGCGGGTTAAACCGCGTCATAATGTGACGAACTTTGGGTCACGGAGATCGCTCACTGCTTAGACCACTCCCTAGAATATGTGCGAAACCAATTCAATAAATATATTGGCAACAACGTTGACCTTAGGTCACGAGTGATGACATTTGCCTTTTGTTCTGTTCAATATTTCCACAGTTTCAAAAAAAAATGGGTTCATGGCCAGAAAATCACGATCACCATTGTGTGGTTTGGTGAGAACAAGTAAGACAAACCCGCTTATGCCGTGCCAAGTCCAGCACTGTTTTGTGCCTTCCAGCGGAATGAGTATCGGGGTCGAATAACTGCTGCGATGATGATTGACGCTGCGGTCGCGTTCTGATGTGTTGAGCAGTGCGCATGCGCTAACGCAGCTGAGCCGACACTTCCGGAGGTGACTGGTGCTCACGGTGTGGAAGTGACACAGCTCGGGTGATGTTGGCCAGAACAGGAGATGAAATCAAGTCGGATGGCACTGTATCGAATTATAGCGTTAGGTTGTGGAGTTGAGAAGAAAAACATTAAAAATGTAAACGAAATCACACTACAACGTAGCGTAAGCGAACAGAACGTAAGGCAGTAAGACAAAATGAGCATTTCGACCCCGACAGTTTTTGGATTTTCGAATAAGGTACCTAACCAATATACAAAAGCTTCTGCTGCTATGCTTCCTGATGTGGCGTTGTGTTTCCTTTACCAGCGTTGTGAAGGTAAACAAATATAGCATACTTGTACAATGTCATACGTTTCCCGAGATCTGAAGTAACTGGGCCCAGGGAAAGATTCCTAACTTAAGTGTGGATGCTGCATACCGAAATTCATAACTTGAAACGTGTTTGGTAATCGCCAAAAGACTAAGAACAACTAGAATGACATTTTTAACCTGTTTTTTGTTGAGCTTACGCTATTGCATTGCCATGCTCGAAGAGGCAAGCATATATAGGCAACCAAGTACAGTATAGACTTTATGTAGAGGTATGCATGAAATTGCCTTTACCCTCCCATCTGGCTACGTTTTTAAACATCAAACTTAGCGGATCACGATGTAAAGGCAAATATGCAATGAACGTAGCGTCGTATCAGGGGGCAGTTTCGCAAAACATTAAGGCGAGGAAAATCACCGCAAAGGAGAGGACCAAACATACCCAAACATATGGTTTCTCTCCGGATGAAGGTAATTTGCTTGCACCCATAATTTTCTTCCGCCCATAATTTTATTTTTTACCAGCCGTTGTTACAATTCTTGTTTAACGCACATGTTTTTGTTGTTGTTGAAAACTTTATTCCGAACGGCTGGCGTGGATGGCTTTGGATGCCGAGCACCTGCTAAGCATGGCGTGTTGACTACATCTTGTTCCCAGCACTAAAGGTTTGCCGTTCAATACAACCGATAATTTTGCATCCTACTTTTCACCTCATAGGACTGCAGAGGGTTTTAAGTGCCGCACAATTCTGCGGCACGGCGGGTCTGTGCCTCGGTGGATCCTGGTTGTTCAGTTTCCACTTGACTCTGTTCAGTGTGGCCAAACATGCCTGTCACTCGCCAATAATGTCACTTTGGGAGTCATACTGACTGGCGGATACGAGTCCAAAACCACGAAACTGGCGAATAATAGGCATTGAGTGATTATAGTTGCAAAATACCCTGGAAGATTTCAATATTGCATGCTGCATAATACGTACATATGCTAACATGCATGTGCCATGCTTTCCTACATATATCTTAGGTTTTCAGGGATATTACCGAGCCATTTTATTCAACAGCAATTTGCACAATAACTGACGGGCTGAGTGGCCCTGCGTGCAAAAATGCGGGCATTGTTGTCAGTCCCATAAGGCACTTCACATGATTCACACGACCAGAATGCATCACCCGCATTGCTCTAATGGAAATGCAGTTCACGAAATGGTGTAGTCATGACGTCAGATGGAAGGTAAGTTGTTAACGGATTGCACGCCGGTGCCGAACGAAAAATGGTGTACATAGATTTTCCTCCTCTTGTTTTTTCCAACGTAGCGTATAGTGGCGTCCTGCGTACGAATTTTCGAGCATGTGTGGCTCCATTTAAGAACAGAGCCTACAAAGCAGAGCTCGCCGAGCGCGCAATGCCCTGCGTTGTCTGTAGGGAGGAGTCGGTTAACTGCTGATGGGCGCGCTGTCTGTGTCTGCAGGCGCGTCGCGGGTACTCCTTCGCTGGTTGCCGACGTGCCGCTGACGGCGTCGGCGCTTGCCGCCCCGCCGCCGGCGCTGCCGCCGGTTCCCGACAGCGACGAGGCGATGGCGGCGGCGCTCTTCCACTACCTGGAGAACCCGGAGCTATGCTGCCGAAAGCTGACGATGTTCGGTGGCGCCATGAGCGGCTCGAAGCCTGTGGACGGCGATAAGTTCGTCTGCCTGGACGAGGGACGCGCGCCGCCGCCAGGCAACTGCCTCGTCTACTCGTTGGGAATATCGAACGAGTGGAGTTTCGACCGTGCCATCACCCGCTACGGCTGTCAAGTCTACGCGTTCGACCCGTCCATGACAAAGTACACGCGCAACACAACAGAGTTTGGCGCCCGCTTCTACAAGATCGGCCTAGGCGGCCGCACGGAGACGAGGAAGAACGGTTGGCACATGATGACGCTGACCGGTCTCAGGGCCAAGCTGGGTCACTTGGAGCGAACCATCGACTACCTGAAGATAGACATCGAGGGAAGTGAGTGGAACTGGCTCGAGAACGACATGGCTGGCCTGGAGGGTGTCAGCCAGATGGGCATGGAGGTGCACATGAAGATGAACATGAAAGGTCTCAGGCGGCACTATGACGCATTCTGGCGGATACAGGAGGCTGGGTTCAAGATGATCCATTCAAACCCTAATAGGGTGTACGGCAGACATTCTAAAGTGAAGGGAGTGAAAAGTAAAGTTGGCGCTTTGTATGAGTTGGTCTGGATGAGGGATGGGTAGGCTAGACGATTGTCACCAACATGTTTTCGCTTTTGACGTGAGCACCTGCCAGCCTTGATTTAAAGGGAGCTTTCCACATTTGTATGGAGATTTGAACTGAAAAAACCGCCTTAAAGATCATCCGGTGCATTTCACAGCCAGGCGTTCGTAACGCCTGAGCTCTCCTTCTTTCTGAGCTACACGTCCGTGAAGTTACGCAGGCTTTTCGAGGTGACCATTTGAATCACTCAGACGTGCATGACGCCATAATAACACCATTTAAATCCTTCCTTCCGTTGGCTGTGCGATGCTCAGGGTTAATCACCATATACTTGTTTAGTCGTTCATCTTTTCCGTTTGTGAGCACGATTACCAGATCTAACGGCCATCAATTGCCTCTCAATCGCTGTTGTGCAAGATATGATGACGTAATCGCACAATGGCATGTTGAGCAGCATATTTATTAAGCATAAAAATTGTATGGTGTAGAACGGCTTCGTGCACTCAAAAACACACTAACTGTTATAAGTGAACATATTTCATCATATCTGATGCTTCAAGATCTTGAAATGTGGAACATTCTATTCAACCCGCCCCCTCCCCCGGGAAGTTGACTTCCCCTGCGGATTTTCGAGCATAGATAAAATGAATAAATGAAGATTTTTTTAAAAGTTAATAAATAAAGATTTTTGAGCATAGATAACATATATAAAATGAATGCTCACTGGAACACCATATTTTGAGTACCTGCTCATTATAAACTTGGCATCCTTTGTGGTAATTGGAAGGTTTGATCTACAAAGGTCGGTAACCTAGATCTGGTCAGAGGTCAACTTCTAAATCAAGTTGACCTTGCATGACGTTTTTGTGCGTGATAAGCCATTGTTAAAAATATATGTAGTGATATAATATGATATAACTTACCGTCCTGCATTTCAAATTTGTTTCCAAAGCAAGCGAGGTAAGTGACCTGAGGGGAGGTCATTTTTGTTATTTGTCGTAAATGATGTCAATTTCACGCATTTTTGTTGATTTTGGTGTTTGTGTACAAGTAAAACGCACTCACTCACATGCGCAACCATCCCATGACCACAGAGCGTTTGACATTGGCCTAGGTCATGACCAACCTATATGGGTACCTTCTGGAAAATACATGCTGAGCATAAAAGAGTTTGATTGGTAGATTTTCTAAGCAATGGTGGTCGCAGAATTCAAAGATCTCAGTGAAAACATCCTGTGATACTATTACAATGCAAAATGAGGCCATAGTAGGTCACATGATGACATACAAGGTTATATGAGGTCATCTGAGGTCAACCGCCTCTGTTGTAGCAAAGAGGCTAAATAAAAGAGTGCGACATGTGTGACATCTTCTATGTCGTGCTTGTGAAGCTGATGACATATACGTTCACACACTAACCAGCCTGTTCTCAGTTTGTTACGAGTGGATTGCCAAACATCGAAGGGCCTCTGTATGATGTATACGAGAGCTATGTGATATTGAGTACTTGTGATGCACAGCACACTGTGATCACAGCTAACCATTACACGGGTCCTTTAGACCCGGTGAGCACTTCGAATTTGTTCTTTAGGTGGTTTATGATTTTGACCTAGGAAGACCTCAGCTGATGTCTAGGTCAGCCTAAAATGACATTTTTGTGTCAAGCTCGTCTTTTCCGCAGCTGCACCTAACAAAACACGCTTATCCAGAGGGGCATCGTAAAATAAATCAAAATCATATCGTTCTTGTAAACTATTGGTAGCCCAATTTTGAACAGCGACCTGACCTGACCTAACTCTTGTGGGGGAATAAAATGGTCATAATGGACTCCCAAGTCTTACCGCTTGCTTTTGTGCCCTACATATTCTTCTTGGCGACTTAACATATGTTTTAGGTGCATCTAACTGGGCAACCATTCGGCTATTTAACTGAGCAACTGAGCAATCAGCACAGTAATCTGACTGAGAAACCATTTTTTCCTTTCGTAACCTGTGGTCACCTTACATTTGACCTAAGATCCAAAAATTTGGTGTGCATTCTGTATGATTTGACGAGGCCTTAACAACGGCACGCCTTTGTTTTGCGATGTCTGAAAGTTCGAGATCCCAGTGGGGAAATGAACTCCTCCGCCAGGCCGGGCACTGCTGGCTCATGCCCTCGGCCGGGCACAGGTGAATGAAGGTGCACTGCTGGGGGATTGCCTCATTAAGACCAGATATTGGTAAGATTGGATGTGATTACGGTTTTGTCGAGTCTTTGCATCAAACTGTCTACAGAGTTTACCAAGGACTGTGAATGACCCCGTAGCGCATGCAGCGTATGCAGCTTAGTAGCACTGTATGATGGTACATGACTGTATGCTTAGTGGTGCTGCTTATTTTGAGGGCAGTCATAAGTAACTTTAACGTTAGTGATAGGTGTAATATGTAATGCTTCGTTGTTAATATTTTTGGTTATGCTGTAGGCCTGTTTCATTTGATTCTTTTGTGCTTTAGCAGATGGCTCTGTTAATAAATGGGGTAAGCATCTTTGCTCTGTTGCTGATAAATGCGTTGCGGCTTTTCAAATAAATAGGTTGTCCAGTGTGAGTTTGAAACTTAAGTGGCAGCCGACAACTCACATGAAGAAAAGACGCCGACTCCTTTAATTTAAAAGCATCTGCCCGCGCTACTTGGTGCTTAAAATACTTCGAGGCGTTCTGGCGAACCAATGAATATCCTACACTGATACCGCCTCATCGCCAGCTGCAATTGGTGTCCACGCATTATAGTTTAAGTACACATTAGAAAAATATGTTTCTATGCTTTACACAGAAATTATGCAGTGCTTAAGCGCTGCAAGTGATACCGTCTTTGCATCGTGATACTGCTGCTGATCGTGATACTATCGTGATACTGCTCGTGATACTGCGTTTCTCATAACGCAAATTGACAGGGAGAAGGATCAATGTGACTTTTCCCATGGTGTTTTGAAACCAAGGAAAATGAAGTCTGGCAAAATGCAAGCAGTAGACTGGTCTCAAATACATTTCGGCATTGTAAAGTAGCCTTAGGCTGCTAGATCAAAAATATGTGAGGGTCCCATTTTCCACAAAATAGGTTTTTCAGCATCGCGTGTGGTATATTTACGAAACCATGCCCCATAGTGACTCGAAATTTAAGCAAGCGTGTTTCTTGTTTAGTTTCGAGTGCAATGGCGCGTAGTTTTATGTGCTTCTAACATGCGTAGAAACCAGGAATGCTAGAGACAAGTTTTTATGTCAAAGCATGGGCAATAGATATCTCAGATGCTGCTGAAAACTTCGGCGAGATTGCACGACATGCCGAAGATATATTCTCAGAAGGTTCAAGTCCGTCCACGCTCGCCCCACGGCAGCATCAGAGATCACGGCCCTGGACGTCCACCTCGGAATCCGGCACAACGGCGGGTGAACGCTGCGACACTTGTCCCACAAACGCCAGAATGAGCAGCAGTCCTACCGATACTTAGCGCGAGCGTGGCGAGACCATTTGGGCCAGCGGGTGCGCCGCGGCGGTCGTCACCAGCAGTGCGACCACGCTTCATTGCCTCCTCGGAACGATTTCACCCGCACACATGCAATACGACCGCAGCCGACCCCCGCGGGATTCTAGAGCGCCCGGCAGGCGGGAAGGCGCGGCCCGCCGCCGCTCCGTGCGGGCAGCAGCGGCCGGAGCGGAAGGTCTCGCAAAGACCTTAAATCGGCTCTAGCTTTAATGCTCCGCGATCTAACATAAAGACCTTGCCCCATACGTTGCAATGACCTGTTAGAGCGGGTCTATGTTTTTTGGATGTACCAATACGGAAGCAGGTTTGACGTGCCCTCAAGCGGACCACTCCTATCAGTTGTCCTATCTAGTCCTGTGTATTGACGATGTCTGCTCTCAGCTTCGCTTCCATTCCTTGGGCTATTGCATCATGTAACGACACAGATTTGCTTGATCAATTCCTCTGTTCCAATTCAAGTTCTGTACTTCGTAACAATTGTACTATCTGTTCTCGCCCTCGCAAGACAAAGCAAAACGTTATCACGTCCGTGCAGTTCGCGGCAGGAAAGAGGTACGTATTTATGTTTATACTGATAAATCGACTGCCATGCTGCTTATAATTGGCTTCTTTTCTATTTGCATCGCTTTTCTCACACTAAGCCAGTGTGACTCACAGTTTGGCAGTTTGACGGGTAGACTTAGCTTTCTTGAAGGGGAGGTGAGATTATGTGTGAAATCCTTCAATGCACAAGTGATCACCTGGCTCAGTGTGGAGGCGTGTCCTCCAAGCTAAACGCTGAGTTATATTTATATATATGCTACCTGCGTGGGAAAACAGGGTCGCAGCCTGGAATCTCACATGGGAAAGAGCAAGGATTCTCATTTCATCTCTCTCAACAGAGATGACATCACTCATCACAAGAGAACCCCATGAGCCGTTTATGGCTCCAAGATAAAAAACCGACTTGGGGGACGGGCCTTCGCCCCACCCGCTATATCAGTTGCCGTACTAGACACCTGCAAAGAAGCCAATGATGGTAAAGTGTTTTGATGCAGGAGACCTGCAGTGATATGCACACAGAAAGTATGTGCTGGACGGTTGTGCTCCTTAAGTTGTGGAAGGAGACTGTTCTTTGCCTAAAGTTTCATTCAGTGGATTGGGGAGGGGTGGGTAAGTTTACTAGTGCTTTTAAGGCATGGGTTTTTAAGCAATTTTCGTCTTCCTTATTTTGATTTGAATTATTTGAGCTTTTTACCTGGAATGTACCTGAATTTACCTGCATTTTGCCTCCACTTACGATCAGCGCAGTTTTGGCAAGTTTTTATGATCTGCCTGACAGCAATATTTGATTTTCAGATCCTTAAGCGGCGGTTCACCATTCCTGCCGACCAAGCTCAACGCCGCAAAGCGTGGCTGGGCGTATTTGAACCGATCAAGAGGCTTGGACTTGTCAAGCCCACGCGCAATGCCTGTGGGCTCAAGCACGGGCTGTACGGCAATCAACTGCGGCCCACCAGCGGTAAGAATCTAGATAAACTGAGTGGTGAAAACAGCGATGCATTGCGACAACGTTCGCCCACGTCATGACAATGCCAATGAGGATGCCGGATGGTCGCGTACCCTGCATGTGTCGGACACACCGCACACTCACGAAGGGGGTTTAGTTTTGGAAAATGAGTTTGGGGCTAAACGGTGAAAAATGATGAAACCTGCCCGTCAGCCAACTATCTTAACAAACGGGGTTCTCACTGCATTTGGCCAACTTCCTTCTCATCGGTCGAACCCTCATGGGGTGTTAATGTGTCAGCATTAGTGTTAGTTAAGTCAAATCGGAACGTGGCAAAGGGCGACGCATTACAGGCGAAGAGTTTGGCAAGTTTTGGCAAGTTTGGCAAGTTTGGCAAGTTTGGCAAGGCCCACCTCCCGGCGTTGAACAACTTCACAGGCGCACTCAAATAAAATGTTGCATAAAATGATCCAGCGACACGAACCACTTAAAACCCCATTTCCCCCTCCCCTCAGGCCCACAGGGACTCCGTCGCCAGGTCACGGGGATGAAATTTTGGGATTCATCCGAGTCAAAACCACCATTATTGGCCAATATCAACACTTACGTTCATGATAGGTCAGGGCTCAACGTCCTGGTCATCGCGGGACACGGTCAGGAGCTTGCACCATGCTCGGGCCACGTCAAGCACGCAGCCTATGTGTGGCTGTGTACACTCGCGGCAACAATTAAGCGTACACTACTGACCACAGTGGTGCGCAGCGACCGCGGAAGCGCGCAGTGAAGTGCGGAATCGTTACATCCGGGATGTGTGCGGATACGCAAACCCGGCTCGCGGCGGCAAGCGCGTAAAGTACTGCCACAGCCATTTTCCAAAACTGATGCGTCATATCTCTGCTACTTTTACTTTACTTGGTTCCGCACGCTTACGCATGTCATGGATGTAGCCAGTGTAAGCATTAATAGAATGGATGCAACACATCTATTAATCGACAGAGAAGCGTCACCGACTGAGAGGAACCGGCGAGGGTGGATGCAAGCTCGTCGCCGAGCTGGACGGCATCGTCGCGCGCCACCGGCACGAGCGCCTCCATGATTGCGAAACATTGGTGTATCGTAGTGAGCGGCCGTCCTGCAACGAATGAAAGGTGACGTAACTGCACAACTGCGATGTGACGTTTTTATTTTTCCAGTGGATCGTAGCATGTTCGATGTTTGTCCGTCCCAGTGGCTCGGTTGGTTAGAACGCCTGTCTTCCGATCCACCCACCCGTGGCGGGGCGGGTTCGGGTCGTTTCACGGCGGTCACTATTTGCCCTTGACTGGCATGGCCTGCGGCCGGTGGCAGCGGTCGCACTGAAGGTCAGTTGGCGTCAGAGGGCAGGACGGACCGTGCCGAGCATTGCGGCACGTTAAGCTTTCGCCATCAAGTTCTGTCGTTGACATGAAATTGCACGATCGGGTGGTAGGGGTCAGTGCTCACACAACGAGCACTGCTTAGCGTGAGCTCTGATCACTGAAATTCATCCACTCAAAGGGTTCGGATCAAATCTTTAAAATAAAATAATGAAAAAATTTGCATTTGCCTTTTTAGCGTAGAAGATCGGGAAATGCGGAAATCTTGTCATTTTCGATTTGCACCTAGTAATACAATGGGCTGCAATAAACAACGCAGCGATAGGGGTTGTGTTGGGTGGGAGAGCCCGCACCCGCACTTTCGAGGATGCCAAATGCCAAGTTTCAGCTTTTCGGTGACGCGTTGAAGCAACAAATTTATATTTGCTTTTGTTTCATCCTCCCCAATTTCTGAGCCATCGAATTCAAACCTTTGAATGGATTTTTAAAGGTCAGGGCTCACGCTAAGCAGTAATCAGCCTATGAGCCGTGACCCCCATCATCCCATCGTGCAATTCCAGATCAACGTCAGGGGTGGCGGAAGTTTAATGTAATGCATTGCTCGGCACGGTCCGTCCTGTCCCCTGAGGTCACCTGATTTTTAGCGCGGGAGCTGCCATCGGTCGCAGACT